GGGTTGTTTTTGGTCTTACAATCAAACATCCTTTCAAATTGAGCTCCTATAAGCTGATTTAATCTTGCTGCAAATTCTCCTTTTCGTTCAAAGCAAATAATTACAAGTGAAACCTTTCGAACAGGCTCAAAAAACCAGCTTGCAGCGTCTTTGCTCATTGCAGATTAGTAAAAAGTGATTGCGATGAGTTTAGGCGCTTCAATCGCACGGTACTTTGGTGGAGATGTGGACACGCTCTAATCATAATGGAGATTGTAGTTAATTCAACGTCTTGGAAATAAGACTTAACCTAAGTAAAAACTCTCCTTATTAATTGCAAAGGATCTAGTAGAGAGCTAAATCATAAGGATGTACTCCAGTGAAAGATACGTAATAAATCGTCAAGAGAATAGCGAGATTGCAGTATGCAGTGCAGGAAAGAATGTGTCTACTGTGGTATCAAAGTGAAGCTTACGTTCTCCATAGTTGAACTGATCGCTTTGACAACTTTCTCATTGATATAGCCACCTTCGGTCTTTAACGTTGAAAATGCGCAATTTCGAACTTGGCGATGAACACCAATATCAAAATCCGAGTACTGGAAACAGTCATATTAGGGTGAATGATTTTAAACTTTGTTATAGAGGCAAATCCTTTCAGGACATCTGGAGAGCACTTTAGACCAGGATATTTACTGTTTTGCTTATTTGCTACAAGCGCAGCTCGATTTTTAGCGTCAACTTGACGTAAGACGGTGAGTGATTTTCATACTTTACAATCGTGATGGTCTTTTGAAAAATGGTAATGAGCGATTTTGAGAGTCTATGAAAGTGACGGTCTGTTAAAGAGTTTTTCTGCTATTGCTTATGTATTATTGATATGTAATTATAACCTATTCAACACATTTTAATGCAATTCATCTTGCATATGCACAGGTGTCAGCGTTTTGAGGTGTTTTAACAATTATGCTTTGCCTTTCTATTAGTTTTCATGTGTCTTTATCGCATAGAAAGAATATATTTCATTACATGAACTGAAGTTCAAATAAAAATCTTTTCCTTCTAAAAGACCAAATTACCAGTTAGTAAGTTCGTTTGAAAAAGGTATTTCGTATACGTCTGTGTGCAGAACAGATCTGATTTGTTAAAGCTTTTGCCAGCCTCGTCACAACATTAATTAGATAAGTTGTTGATCATTTGGTAGATGTGAAGGAATGGATGCTGAGCATTAACTAAAAAATCCAGAAAAAAATGACTCTTTGGAAACTCTATTCGACCATTCGAGACACCACCTGTGACCATATGTAGTGGCCAACACCGATTGCTCAGATGGTCGGCGCAGGTGAAAACTTGATTAAATGGTGATTGTTCTGTGCAAACTTTGTCAATTGACGAGGCTCTGAAGATTTCAAGTACTTGGTTGGGAAATTTCTTCCAGCAGGTCAAGTATAGGATGAAGCCAGTAGTATAGGGCTGGCAACCAAAATCCGCTTTTTTTCGTGGTCATTCTGTATACTTTTATTGATACCTAATTCCTATCCTTGTGATGACTTGTGCGAATCTCTAATTGAGTAGAGCTCTTTTTAGTTCCACGTAATATAAAGCTAGCAACTTACGATTACATAGAAACGTTCACTTTCTGCCATGAAGATTACGTCGCCTAAGGGGTTTATAGCAACGACTGATGTGCTTCCTAGGGCGATTAAAAGCTTTTTATATCATCAAGCGATAATCACTCCTTCCGATATCACTCTTATCATTGTGCACTGATAAAGTCAAAGGAGAACGATTGGAGTCTAAAGGTTTAAACTATGTACTTCATGTTAATTGCTAATTCAATGTTTTTAAACTGCATATTTCATGCTAACTGCAGATTCTCCGTTCCAACTAGTAGGAAGCCCGGCCGGAAATTCGTCGGCGAAATCCATTCCTTGGAAATGGTACGTCAGGATACCAAAAAATGTTATATGCACGACCAGCAATATACCATTTGAAATATGTGCTGGAGTCCGCACAACTAGTGAAGACGGACCATCTAAGTATCTATGTAAGTAACTGCCAAGAGCACATTCGTTTATGTCATTGAACATGAACGGCATTTTAGGATCGTTACCGATCGCTTGGAGGAATGGTCTTTAGTCAATAATTGTGTATATGAAAATCGAGAAGCCTTATCTCGATTAGCTGACGCGAGGTTGGTAATTTAGTTGTAGAAGTTCGGCTGACGTTTCGGCGACCCGCCTTCTTCAGAGCCTGGGCGTATGTAGTATTAGTCTACTTGAATGATTCGAATGGTCTTTTTAATATGCTGCCTAGGTCAAGTTAGCTACTAAGCTGATCAAGATAAGTTTTCTCGATTTTCATATAACAAGTAATTATGCCGAGGTTTATAGAAAGTCAAACTTTTGAATTGTTGCAATAATTGTGTAGTTATTATGATATAGAAACGTCGACAAATTAACTGTCAGTCTGCTTCACGGATTCATTGTTCATCGCTGTTCCCCCTTTGAAGGTCTATTACATGTACAACTGTTTCGGATACATATCAACTTCATCAACTTCGTCATCGCAAATGCATGACAAGCAGCTTGACTGAAGCGATAGAAACTATGTTTCCACGACGTTTCGCTATTGTGAAAACAAACAGCGTCTTCTTGGTGTCCTATGATGAACTCGGACTAGTATGCTAAGGAGGTAGCGGATTATGTAAATGTTCCACGAAGACGCAGCGAGAAGCCCAAATGAACCATCCACAATGTTATGACGTTATTATCGCTACTATTTATCAAATTAAGATGTGAAATTTTACAATAAATTTGCAGGTAAAAAACAAGATGCGAATCCCCAACACTTTGAGTGTTGTACAGTCTTTTGAAATGTCAGAAAAATGGATACAGAGTAACTGATATTGACCAATGTTAAGTGTTTGGATGGTCGCGTCGCTTTTTATTTGAGAGTTCGACTAGTATCAGAATCTATCGGCTTTCGCAATACATAATACACCTCATTAAGGCCGTGCCGCGGCTCCAACTGATAAATTGTCAAACCAGCAATAAACCAGCCACAGATATAAATTTTCCGTATTTGCTCTGTAAGAGGTAAAAGGTGCTAGGGTATAGTTGGATAGTTAGACGGTCCGTCTTCAGTAATTGTACTGACTCCAGGACATATTCCATTTGTCCCTTTGTTGCGCGACAGCCGTCCATGACGTTGGTCTAATTTGAGCATAGCGGCTGGTGGCTATCATTGAATAATTATTAAATTGAGTGTGCCATTGTCATTTACATCAAAAAATGTGTGGCCTTCTTATGTTTTTTCGTCCTCTAGCGCCTGTTTACCTTGTCAATTCACGCATCATCCCTTTCGTCGCTTGGCTATCCCAGGGCTTCAAGCTACACATCATACCGTGATCGGTATCGTTGACTGCTAATCACCGATCTATATAGCTCATGAATATAAATTAAATGCGTAATATCAATAATCCAATGAGGTAACTTGTAAAAATTCAGAAGACCCCCTATTAACCTATATAGCCGTAGTGAATTGTGTGCAGGTTCTGCGTACGGTAACTTTGTCTTATCAAGATCGTCTTTTGACCGTCTTAAGTCGTCAGTAAAAGTCGATCTTGACGGACCAGTTGCGTGCCCCCTCAGTATTATTGATTATCAAATAAATGCTGATATCGATGCTACGTTGGTGATTCAATGAAGCCATATTGGTCAGGTCATTCTCAGGGCTATCAGTGTTAGATCAAGCGAGGGAAATGAAATTAGTCATAGGAACACAAATTCTGGGGTATAAGCAGGCTTGAACGAAAACGTACTCAAGATGAAAAGAGATTAGGGTTCGTTCTCCTTGATTCTTGCCTTCAGAACGTCCCTTTCTTAGATATTATTGTTCAGTAGAAGGAGGAAGGTAGCTGCCAGAAATGGTGATACCTTAACGAAGTTACAATCTCAAAAGTCTACTTCTTTGTCAGGACTAAAATATTGCGCCTACTTGATAGATCCGCAAACTTATCATTTGTACTCGGCTAGGGCACCACTTTGGTGCACAGGTTGGCTATATTTGGCCGTAGATCAGAAAAAAAAATTTATATCGGACAAGAAGAAAAGGGTGGTATTGTGTGAGGACCGTATTTGAACGAAATTGTAGCTATGCTTAAGTGGTAAACTAAAGGAGACTCAAGAGATGACTACGGATTGTTTATCGAAGAACTAGAAAATAGTGCTATAGCAGCTGTATTTTTCCAACCAAAAAAACTCTGAGGTTTGATTGAAGTAGCATTTCAATAGTTAATGCCCAACAAACAGAATTACGTTCAGGGAATTGTCCTTCCAAGGTACGTTCTTCTTTTCTTTTGCGCAACCAGAACGATATGTATCTCGACGGCATAGTTACGCTGGAGGAGAAACGGTTTCTTGTGATAATCGGAGATGGCCGTATCAGCGGATGGATACCGATGAAGCTCCATGAGACGTTTCAGTGCAGAAATTGCATCAAGAAAGGTGCTGCAAAGATTTAGGTGGTCTTTGAGCGGTCTTATCTACCACAGCTATCCAAACTCAGGTAAAATGATTACTGAAGAATAGCCATGCAAATGGGCGAGATCTGCACGTCGACAGAAGGAGATTATTGCTCTCCAAGATATAATGTGGTAATGCTTTGTACTCCCTGTGTTCAAAAGGTTCAACGAATGTAGCTGCAAAATTTTACTTTATAAACTATATTTGCAAGCTTGTCATCTCTTTTCTCTCGCTCTTTCAAGTACCTTGGAAACTTCCTAGACGACATACAGAAACTTGGCTGAATGTGAAACTGTTTTCAACAGCTTGAATATTCCTGATAATCCAGAATTCGAAGAAATCTATGTCAATAAATTTGCTCCCATTGGCAAACACATGAATTCTGAAAGTCTTCACTTCGATTAATAGAGTTCATTTCAAGCTGAGCTATATTATTTTCAATACATGCTGAATGTCGTAATTATGCCTATGAGAACTGTGTGGCAAGCAAAAGGACGACCTTAGGCGGGAGTCAAACCCGCGTTTCATCCATAGAGGGGACACGTGCTACCACTACACCACCGAGGTACAATTGCCCAACCGATCATTCTCCAACATCTCTATGTTAGCTACCATCCACCAACCTCTAACAGGATTAGTTGGCTAGCGATTTAGCTTTATAAACCTAGCTAAGCTGACAGTCATTGTGATAGGTAATACTCGAAATTTCTAGTGCTTTTACTGCACTACATTTTTCGCAGGGTTATGATGCTTCACATATACCTAAAAGAATCGAGTGGTGAGCAAAAGTAGAGATGTTGAAGAATGAGTGGTGGCGCGAATGTAGCTCGGTAGTGCGGTGGTAGCTCACGTCCCCGTTATGGATGAAACGCGAGTTCGACTCCCATCTGAGGTTGTGTCCACGATCACCACTCAGTTCTCTTAGATCTACATCAAAGAACAGCGAAAAATACAGTAAAAAGACTAGAAATGTCTCGTAATTATTTTGAGAAAAACCAAGAAATTGCCCTGTAACGCTAATAGCGCACCAAAGAATCCGAAAGCTCCACTGACGTGAAGAAGATCATGTTGGTAAAAAGCATTTCTCAACAGAGTGGTCGACTTCAGCGCACATAGGTTAAAAATGTTCAATTGCAGCAATATTCTTTCAAAATCTCCAATTTGCTGTGAACAATGCCTGGAGCTCAAGACTTCGCTTGTTGTCAAATGCCCTGGTGAGTCTTTCCTCCGATAGCGTTGCCGGCAAAAATTTTCTAGTCGAGCTCAATTCGGAGATCATTTGCTCTGCAAATGATCCGAAACTGGATACAAATTATTGAATTTTGATTGATGTGCTCATCAACATAAATGATTTATCTCTCTCTTACCTGTTTTCCTATTGCCTCTGCCACAAATAAGAGCGTACCACAAGTGGTAGTTCTACTTATTCTGCAGCTTTTGGGTTTCATACGCCGTTTAGTGGGATCTTTGAATCGTACAATGGTCGCTAAGCAGTCTGTCTTTGTAATTTGAAAACGTTTATTGCTTTGCTAAGATATTTCTTTAAGCCATCTAAAAACTGTGACATTTTCATTACACTTCTGCTCTTACTCAGAAGTTTGGAAAAAAGCAAAATTCGTTGACGGATTAGACCTCCTTCTCCTTAGAGTAAACCTTTTAATTTTCAACGTTCGTAATCATATCCTTAAGCTCTTAAAATTTCTCTTATATTGTTGTCATAGACCATTGAGCACATTATTATAACAAAATTCTTCATTGGTTCATAAATTTAAGAGGTTTCACTAAGTAAACAAGACATAGCATGCAGATCTTGGAATGAAAGACTATTCGTTGTAGATCTGATTGGTGTTTACTTAAAATACGAACCAGTCCCTAATCCCAAATGGGATGCAGATCCACCACCTAATCCGCTCATTCCACCGCCATACATGCCACTCGGAGAGAAAGGTGATCCTGAAACACATGTGAGAATTGGGTCAGAAGTTAATTTGAAAGCTTTCTCAACTATAAACAGATCATTTTGACCTACCATAACCGCTTCCCATGCCCATTCCACCCATTCCTGGCATGCCCATGCCATAAGGTCCTCCTGAATTTATGAAAATTTAAGAGACTATAACATAAATTAAGCTTCTCGATTACCCATTCCAGTCATTCCTGGGTATCCGCCCATCCCGTATGATCCGTCAGGTGATCCCATGCCACCCATCGTACCTAAACATGAATCTAGACATGAACATTGTCTCAAATAGTTTTCATGGATTCGGTTGTCATTTTTTTATCATATGCTTGAGAAGGCAAATTTGTTAACAAAAAATGAAATTACATTTGAATCGGATTTTCAATGCATTAGGTAATAAGTTGATTTGCTTACCATAGCTTCCATATCCTCCATAGCTCGTCATGCCGTCACCAGGCATATAGTTGGCCCTGTACGGAGCGCACCTGAAGTCCAAACGGTTAGGCTTCCGTAGTTTGGTCTTTTATGATTTAATTGTTCATGGACATTCAGCACTGGGTACCAACTGGCGAAATGGATGTTGCGTGTTGAAAATTGTAGACAACAAATATAAATAAACTAACGTTACAGTAACTATCAATGAAAAAGTCAACGAAGCGGCTGATATTCCAATCATAGCTGAAAACAGTGGACTTCTTTTCTCCATGTCAATCAACAAAGGAAGGACTCTAGCTAGCATACTGGGGCAATTTGTTGCATTTATATAGACTTTCGAAATATGCATAATTTACCTTTTGTGAAGAAATATAATAGCGAGACGACTATATAGCAGATTTTCTGTGTGGGGAGAACTAGGCGGCAATCTGCTCTAACCAGTGCCTTTTATCGTGAAAGAGCAAGTCTAAATGGGCGGGCCGATTGACGTCGCAGTTCAGCAAGAGTGAAAACACTAACATTTTTTTCCGATAATCGTTCAATTAGCATATTGCATCAGAACTAGATTCTCTTTCGCTCAACATCGCTCTGCTATCAAGAAGCACCTGACGGCTGACGAAGTTCTCTTGCTTATCGAAAGAGTAAGAATGTATAAGATTTTTGTCCACATTGTCTACAACAAAAGCAGAAAGCACCTGAAAATTATGATTAAGTGTAAGATCAAGGTATAGACAACTTGGTCAGTCAAATCTTCTACACCTATGAGGTCCGCATGGTATTGTCAAAAAGGTCTGGGAACAGCTCAATTCACCTATATCTCGTGACGACACTTCAGCACTGCTGAGCCAGGATTACAGGAAAAATCTGCCTGACCAGAAGCAATTGTTAAAAAGTTGGAAGTCTTCAAAAAGGAGTCGAGCCCATACATGGGAAGATTGAAGGTCTTTGTGTGCGAAGGTTGCAAGAAAACGAGTTCAATGCATGTACTGAGCTCTTCACAGACCTGGTTTCGAGTTCGAAAAAAATGCTATTGAGAACACCATGATTACAAACTGATCATAGGACTCCAAGATTAGACGATCTACATAGTCAGTGGAAAATAACCAGTCCTCCACAAATTAAGCAATTGTTCAGAGTATTTACACAATGATACCACACTACGTATGCATGTAAATGACGCCTACATCATATGATTCTACGATCTGGGAGTGAGAGTGGGAGGGTGTGCGAACTATCTATGATGTTGACGAGTTTACCGCAAGTTATTGATAGAAATGCTCTCCTCCAACAGTAAAAGTATCATTAGTCTCACCTTGTTCTGGCAGTAGAAGAGTTTATTTTATTCATTCTACCTATTCATTTCCGAATCTACTGCGTGGATCCTGGCAAGGATTCGTTTCCAGGCATCCATTATGGAAGTTTCAACCCTTTTCGCGTGTGATTTTCCCTGCTGTTCGAGAACTGCATTCTTTTTTTGAACATCGATGAACGCTGGTTGAGGTGATTGTCGCAGGATTTCTTTGTTAAGTGTTCCTACTTGGATTGTAATGTGAATTTTGTAGCATATAAGGATAAAGCTCTCGGCGTTGATCAACCCCTAAAGGATGCGCTATACATTTGTCTTCAATTCATAACTTCGTTTGAGGTGACTGAATGCATGTCTGGTCTTTACAATGATTAGCGGTGGCTTCTCGCTGTATCGAGTCATGGTGCTTATCCTCCTAGGAAAGTCTGAGACGAGTCTGGTACCAATTTTCCGACCATCAAGGGATGGATGGCTTGATGAGCTATGAGCGCGAGATTGAATCATTGATGTCGTATGACGCGGAACACCACTAATTATTGCGCCACGTGAGTTCTTGTTCAGATTAGAATGAATTGGATAATAATTTCCTGACTCCGGAGAGGTCACATGCTTGATAAACCTAACGCAGAGTCGAAGGAGTTAAGTTTTGAAGTGCACTGCATCTTTGCCACCACGCTATATGCGTTAAGAAGAATTTTTACTCTAATAGTCTTACAGGTGAAATATTTCTACAATGGTGAATTTTAACCCTAAGGCTTCAATCGTCCGTTGGACAGATTATTCTGAAAACTAGTGTTTCTTGTCTATTCTAGTTCGTGGAGCTAGGAGCGCGCATTCAAGTTGTAAAAGAAATGAGGAATGAGTGCTTCTTCATCATTTAAGTGAAAAAACGCGTATCACCGACATTCTCCAAGTCAACTGCTCGAAATATAATCAGTAAGTGAATAATGTAATTGAACCTTCGCAGACGACTAAGACCATTTTAATCCCTCAACTTGTCAGAAATTTCTTTCGCTGAACAAGTATTCAGATCGATCAGTAATCACTCAAAAGCTCAAATCTCGACAATTTTGAAACTGTGCCTATTTTTAGGGAAGGTCTTTTTTGATACGCTGTAGCAGCCAATAACTATGTTTTATGCTCGCTTTGTTTTGCTTTTGCTAGGCGAGGATCTGTGGATCGTTTTTTGTTAGATTATACTGTTAATGGTGAAAATAAAACTGCTTTACAATCAAAGTTTTCTTCAAACATAAGAATGCTTAGAATTTTTCTGAGCGTGTAGAGAAAAATAGATTCTAAGAGTTTAGTACAAGAAACCTAGAATTTTTTTCGAAAAAAAATCCTCGTTAGGTAAAAAAAAATCGCGCGCCACCTGCGATATCCATTATGGTGCAGTCTGCAAAGTATTGATGAAAAATTCTTTGGAAAATTCAAAGTTGATTAAGTTATTTCAGAAGCCGCATATCATTAGCAAATTTCGCTGCTGGAAATTTCGGTAGAATGCGGTAGACGGCAATAAATTTTCAAGCCGATCTCATTCGCTGGACAGGAAATGTTCATAGAAGAATTGAAGACCATGCGAAAGCTCAAATCTTTGCCTACAACTACATGCCGCAGGTTTTTCAAAAGACCCCTTTATTGGGCTGTAGCATCCATGATATTTTATTTCACACTCGCCTTTTGCCCTTGTTTTTACTGCGCTATAATTCGCTGGAAGTCGAAAAGCATGTCAATGTTAGAAAAACTTTTGTAGAATCTTAGTCAGTCTGTTATCTTAGGTTTCTACCAAAGTAGAGGAAAAATTCCCAATCAAATAACAACATGTCGACCGCCCTACCTCGCTCCCTGACACGGCCTCCGCCTTGT